ATTTAAGCCAACCAAACATGGAAAAATTAGAAAATATTTTCCGGAAAATATTTTCCTTCATACCAAACACACCCTAAGTATTATATAAATTAATACATATTTTTTTTATTCTTTCTATTATATATATATATATATATATATATATATATATATATAATTAATTAATTTCAATGTCATGTTGATATATTAAAAAATATTGAAGGATATACATTAGTAATTACTCTATTTTTAATTGTTGACAAATTGATAAGATATTATTGCAAGTGCGTTATGCAAACGACATTATCTTTATACAATTGGTTGTAATTTTCTTTTTAAAGAAGATCACACTTCTTTTTAATACATTTAGTGATTGATATTATCGAAACGTACTCTTGGCTTGCTTCATAAATTGTTATTAACTTTGTATGATTTGAGAAAATAGCAATTATAGTTTATTTTGTTGACCAAATTGATCATAAGTATTCCTCCACGTGTAAATAAATAATATATTTGGGAATCGAACCTTATGTGCATCAAACAATTATTCTATGTTTACACAATCAATTAGTTGGGAATTAAATTTATTTAAATAAAACAATTAAATATCAATTATTGTTATTGTAAAAATCTTTCTTAAGCGAGATAGCTAAATAGGATCAACAACTTAACATTTACCATTTTTATGAACTTATAATTTATTTTCTTAGATTCTATTTTATAACTCAAATATAATTTTTCAATATTGTTTACGTGATTTCTAAAAGCTTGTGTCATTTCCCTCTTTTTCTGTGAAAATCAAGTTAACATTGGAAAAAATAGATATAACTTTAAATCAACTAAAATTTTATTTATTAATTAAGTTTCTCCTTATTTGAAATGTTTATGACTTTAAAATCAATTCAAATATACCCTATAGTAATTTATTTCCTATTCTTCTGTAATAAACGTGTTATTACTCAAAATATTTTTTAGCCGATACTAGACTAATGTACTTTGATAACCGAAGCTTAAGAGACAACACATATTCCTTAGTACTTTCTCGAAGTGTGCCAGTTAAAGAATATTCTTTTGTTATTGAATTAGGTAATATAATCATTCTCTCAAATTAGACTTAGAAAGAGATATTTTACCTATAGATATTCCGGCAATATAGAATTCTTTATGTTTTTAGTCACTGCACTTTAATTTATTTTGAAGTTTGAGTTTTATATTATAACATTGGATATATTTAACACGTAATTATTTACATCAATACCAACACATGCTTCTAACAATATT